TCGTGAGTTCGGTTCCCGGTACCGGAGAAAAACAAAACAAAACAAAACAAACAAACAAACAAAAAAATAGAAACACATCAAATTGAAAACCTTTTGCACAGCAAAAGAAACCACTAACAGAGTGAAGAGACAACCCACAGAATGGGAAAACATTTGTATCAGGTATTCTTCAAAGGACTAATATTTAGACTATATAAAGAACCAAAAAAAAAAAAAAAATCAGAGCCTCTATATTGAAAGACTCAATCCAAAATGGACATCCAAAATTAATAGACACTTCTCAGATGAAGAAGTACAAACAGCAAACAAATATATGAAAAATGCCCCAAATCACTGGTCATTAGAGAAATGCAAATTAAAACAATGCTGAGATTCCACCTCACTTCAGAAAGAATGGTACCATCAAGAAATCAACCAAAAACAAATGTCGGTGAGGAGGAAAAGGAAACCTTTTCTGTTGCTGGTGGGAGTGGAGACTGGTACAACTACTGTGGAAATCAGTATGGAGATTCCTCAAAGCACTAAAACTAGCAGTTCCATTTCTCCCAGAGATTCCCCTTCTAGGTAACTTCCTAAAAGAGTTAAAAGCATCATACCACAGTGAGACATTTGCACCCATGTTTATAGCAGCTCAGATACCCATACAGGTGAATGGATAAAGAAAATGCAGCATTTATATATAATGGAGACTACTCTGCCATAAAGATACACTCGAGTCATCTGTAGGAAAATGGATGCACCTCAAGACCATAATCTCAAGTGAAAGAAATCAGACATAAAAGTTTATTTCACATTTCCTGTGTGAGAAACCCAAAGGGTACATAAGGAGCATAACGGGGGATGGGTGCTGGGAAGCAGGAAGAACGCACTCAGATGGGAAGGGGAATGGGGGGGGAGGGGGAAGGGGAAGGGAAGGAAGGAAAAAGAGAAAAAAGAGAATGGAAGGAAAAAATGGAAACAAAGCTTTCGTAGATGGGGAGGGGAAGAATGATTGAAGAGAGGAGAGGGGAATGGGGAAAAAGAAGAATTAAGATATTATGTACAAGTACAAACTGCCTACAATGAATGAGATCAATATGTATGACAAATATGTACTATTAAAAAGTTAAAAAATACTGAAGGATGTGAACAAAAACAAAAAATTATGTTCACAAATGTGAAGCCTTAATGTTGAAAAGTCAGTTCTTTCCAATTATTATTATTAGTAGTAGCAGTAGTTGTATTTTGTCTTTTTGAGACAGGGTCTCACTATGCAGTTCAGGCTGGCCTTGAACTTGCAGTGATTCTTCTGCCTCAGCCTCCTAAGTGCTGGGATTACAGGCGTGCACCACCATGCCCAGCTCCAATTAATTTAAAATTCAGTGCAATTCCAATAAAAAACTCCCATCTGAATTCTGTGTCACTGGGGATTGAATTCAGGGCCTTCACACTGAGCTACATCCCCAATACTTTTTCCGAGACAAGGTCTCTAACCTGCTAAACCACCCAGGCTGGAGTAGAATTTGTAATCCCTCTGCTTTAGCCCCTCTCACTTCTGGACTGCCTGTTCTGTTCCTTTGGTTTGTTTACCTGTCTGCCTTAAGTCTGAATACATGCAACCCCATTCTTTTCTTCAGTCTTTCTTTTTTCTTTTCTTTTTTTTTTTTAGACAGGGTCTCATCATGTAGTTCAGGCTGGCCTTGAACTCACAGCCTGCCTCAGCCTCCCTATTGCTGGGATTACAGGTGCCCACCACTACTCCCAGCTCCCATCAAATTTTGTGGAAGAACTTGATAAGCGAATCTTGCAATTCACAGGAAAAAGCCGAAGGAAGAATATCTAAGGCAATTTTGAAGAAAAAAGCCAGGGGCAGTGGCACACTGGGGAGGCTGAGAGAGAGGATCATTGTGAGTTCAAAGCCAGCCTGGGCTACATAGTAGGACCCTGTCTCAAAATACCAGAAAAAAAAAAAAAAAAAAGAAAAAAGCAAAACTTTAGAAAATATACAACATTCCCATTGCTCATTTACTCCTGTTATATCCAGCAGTCATCATGATTTGTAATGTATTTGTTTAACACATGTTTGAGCTTCCTTAAAAAATGTTAGGGAAAGATTTGTACTCCCTCAGCTCCCACAAACACCCTAACCCAGAGAACAGGTGAACAGATTTGGTCAGTTCAAAATTAAAATCTTCTGCTCAAAAAAAGGAAAAAGAGCCAGGTGTGACGGTGCTGTAATCCCGGCATGCGAGGGGCTGCAGCAGGAGGATCACCATGAGTTGAGGTTAGTCTGGACTACAGAGACCCTGTCTTAAAAACCAAACAAACAAGAAAACTCCATTGAAAACAAGAAAAACACAAGTCACCAGTGAAGATCTCCACCACTTGTACGTAACTGACAGACAATTAGGGTCAAGAACACACAGAGCTGGGTGTGATGGTGCATGCCTGTAATCCCAGCACTCGGGAGGCTGAGGCAGGAGGATCGTTGCAAGTTCAAGACCAGCCTGGGCTACAAAGGGAGCTCAAGGCCAGCTTGAACTGCATAGCAAGACCCTGTCTCAAAAAGGACAAAAAAAACCCCAAACAAACAAACAAAAAAACACAACAGAGAACCCCCACATGTAAACAAGACAGGGAAAACAGCTAAAATTATAAATCTGGGAAAAAAAGAAATTACAAATCAGTAAGAAAATAAGCCAAACCTGAGGACTTCTGGTAGCAGTTCACAGCAGACAACACAAATGGCCAACAAACATTTGAGAAGATGCTCGAATTCGCTAGGAAAGTGCAAAAGAAAAGCAGGGCCGTGCACCCCTGTAATCCCAGGATCCTTGGACTTGGAGATAGCAAAATAGAAAGTTCAAGCCCAGCCTGCGCACTGAGGGAGACCCTGTCTCAACGAGAAAAGGGCTGGCTGGAGGCGTCGCTCAGTGTGAAGGTCGTACATTCGATCCCAGTAGCAGGGGCAGAAGGAAAACGGAGAAGACGGCAGAGCCAGGAGTGACACACCTTGTGCTCCCCGCGGTGAAGCACAGCTGCTGGGGTGAGCTGGAGCTGTTCAGGGACCGTGCTGGAAGGACCCCACCAACCCAGCAGGTCTCCTCCAAACACTAACACGTGAGCCCCAGGAAACAGACACCATACTCAAAATAAAAGACACGGAAGCGACTGAAATGCTAACAGGATAACAGGGAAACCAACCGGAGCGCATCCCTACGAGGGGACGCTGGGTACTGAAAATGAAGAACCTGGAGCAGTGTGCGGTGGGAAAGCAGTGCAGGGTAACTGGTAGGACAGCGATGTACTGTGATGGTTAACTGCGTCAACCCGAGCACGAAACGCCTGCTCCACTGGATCAGCACGGTTCTGGGAGGGGCTTAGGGGCTTCCCTGAAGGTCTGCTGGGGCTCCGGGGCGTGGGCACAGCCAGCTTGCCCTCATGCTGTGAAGCGGAAACGGACGGAGAGGCTCGCTTCTGCCTTTGGGGGAGCTCCGGTCTTCACCTCAGTTGGACATTACATCTGTTTCTGTGGTAAGCACTGACTAGCACAGGCCGGCGTGTGACCACGGGGACTCGCTCCGCTGGGCGCCCGCCCTGGGCTCCTGCGCAGGCGCACAGCGTCCCCTGCCAGGCTGCTTCGGGGCTGCCTGCAGTGAGGAGCATACTACCTTCATGGGGTGGACATCTTTTTTTCCCCAGTACTCGGGATTGAACTCAGAGCCTTCGCACTGAGCTACATCCCAGCCCTTTTTATTTTTTATTTTGACATGGGTCTAAGTCGCCAAATTGCCCAAGTTGGGCTTGAACTTGTGATCTTCCTGCCTCAGCCTCCCACAGTACTGACGTTACACATTTGCACTAGCAGGCTCGGCTCTGACACCTCTTCTTTTCCGAAAGGTCTTGCTATGCAGTACGGCCTGGCCTTGAACTCATTATGCAGCCAGGCTGGCCTCAAACTTGTGGCAGTTCTCCCGCTTCACCTCCCTCGTGCTACACCACCACAGCTGACGCGGACACCGCTCTTCCTTGGCAGTGCTGGGGACGGAACCAGGACCTTGCTGGGACACGGCACGCACGAGCTCCTCTACTGAGCGCCATCCTGAGCCTGGGCCTGCTGTGCTGTGAGGGACGCACACAAGCACATGACAAACAAACGTGGCAGGTCGTGGGCGAGGGCAAGGCAGGCATCGGGGGCCGTGTCCTTCCCTGAACAGATGGCTTCTAACTGAGACCGCCAGGAGAGATGGTACCAGCCCCTCACCGCCTGCTGGGACTCACAGGCTCTGCCCGAGGAACAGGTAGGTGGGACCCCGACTCCCCCAGGACCCGGGTTTGCCAGGCGCGCTCCTTCCAAGGTCACAGCCTCACTGACGGGCGAGGACCTCAGCTTCCCAGGGTCCCCACAGGAAACAGCCGGCTCTGCGGGCTTCCTGCTCGCTCAACCCTCTGCGCTGGGGGTGCCACAGAGAGCGCTGCGGGCGCACCCGCCTTACCAGAGCGTTTTCGGGCACACCCATCACCACGTCGTGCAGAATGGCTCCGCTGCCGAAGTGCTGGGCGATGGAGAGGCCGCTGAGGCAGTAGCAGGTGTGGTAGAAGTCACGCGACCTGGAGGACACGCAGCTCTGGGAGGGGCCCCCCTGCTCCCCACCCGCCCCCAAATGCAGCCCCGTGGATCCAGACCCCGCGCGGGGACTGCACGCCCCACCCTGTCCTCCCGCTGGCCGGAGCGGGCATGGCCTTTGCCGACAGCGTGTCTCACAGCCCCGTGCTCCGGTCCCGTCCCACAGCAGGACTTCAGTTCATCTATATTTTGGTGGTGCCAGGGACCAAATCCAGAGCCTCGCACAGGCCAGGCAGGCACTCTATCACTGCCCCAGCCGTGGGAACGGTAGCTTAGGAGCTGGTCTTTCCCAGCTGTCTGTCTTGGGGCAGTGCTAATGCTAAATTAACGCAGTTCTCCAGACAACACCACAGTGTCGGGAAGCGAGCCACACTCCTTCCCGCTCAGCTGCTGGGCCAGTCTTCTTCCCCTGACCTCACAGCAGCAGAGTGTGTGTTACTAGGGACTGAACCGAGGGCTTCGCGTGTGCTGGGCAAGTGCTGTGCCACTGGGCTACACCCCAGCTCACGCCCTGTTCTAATTAAATCAGTCTGGCCGAGGGGATGGGGGTATAGCTCAGCGGCACAAGCGCCTGCCTGACAAATGCAAGCTCCTAAGTTGCTTCCCGGTAAAAAGGGCAATAAAGACACCAGCCCAGCCGTCCGTTCACCTGTCTGGGGAAGAGGGGAGGGGGGTGAGCAGCCAGAGGTGCAGGACCACTGGGACCCTGGGGGTGCTCCCAGGCTGTCTTCCTGAGGTGCCCAGGAGCACCCGGCAGCCAGCAGCAAGGACGCCCTGGCCTCCTGGTGCCCGGCCCTCCCGCACCCTTCGCTCCCAGGGCGCAGCACTCACTTGCCGGGCTTGTCCAGAAGGCCCCCGGTGGGACACTGGCAGCACATGAGCAGGTACTCCTGCAGGGCCTGCTGGTGGAACATCCAGCGGCTCATGCCGAGGGCGGGGTCGCCTGCGGAGGGCAAAGGGTCAGCCAAGCAGCGGAGATCATTTGCCCCACAGAGGGAAGAGGCTGGGCCTCTCCTTCCACTCATTCTTGGTGCACCTGCTGCCCTCCCACCTCACCCCTTCTCCTGGGCCTGGCGGGGCAGCTGTTCAAAGCAGAGGTTCCCTGCCTCGCCACGCCACTAACCTGTGGTGGGCAGGGAGACAGCTGTCCAGCCCCACTCTCCCCACACGCAGTGTCTGCCCCTGAATGGGACTGTCATACTTCCCTCTGGACACCTGAGGACATTTCCTCCAGCATCACTTTGACCACGCTCCAACGGGTCAGCCAGACTCCTCGGATAAGGAAACACTCAGCAGGGACAATGGATTCTGCTCATTCTGCTGCTTTTCTTTTTTTTTTTTTTTTGGTACAGGGAATCGAACTCAGGACCTTGCGCTTGCCAGGCAGGCGCTTGTGCCACTGAGCTATACCCCGGCCCTCTCCCGCTTTTTTAAGCCAGAATTTTTTTTTTTTTTTTTTGGAGACAAGGTCTCGCTATGCAGATCAGGCTGGCCTTGACCTCACTTTGTAGCCCAGGCTGGTCTCAAGCTCTCAGTGATCCTCCTGCTTCAGCCTCCCAAGTACTCGGATTACAGGCGGATACCACCATGCCTGGCTAAACCAGAATTTAATCTAGCTCCAATACTACCCTCCCTACACACAGAGTGAAAATGGTAAGCAAAAATTGTATCTTTATTTATTTATGTATGTATTTATTTGCAAGCCTTTGACTACTAAATAGGATGAGTTTTTCCTCATAACTTCTGGTTGCCGATTACATTTCCTTTTGAGAGTATATGTACTTTGTCCCAAAATCTAATAGCCAATTTTTGTTAATCTAGCTTTTTATTATACTTACCCTTTGTGTGTAATGCAGGCTATACCTATTTCTTTTTCCTCTTTTATGTGAACTGAGATACGTACTATATATATGAGGCATGGGTTTTGGCAGGAGGGGATTAAAAATGTAAAACTTATTGTGATGATGGTAGTGCAATTCTATGAACACATAAAAAAACCACTGACTTACATACTTTAATGGGTGAGCTGTAGGGTATGCAAATTACATCGCCGCAAAGCTGTTATCTTTAATTTTTTTTCCAGTACCAGGAATCGAACTCACGACCTTGCACTTGCCAGGCAGGCACTGTGCCGCTGAGCTAAATCCCCAGCCCAAAGCTGTTATTTTATTTATTTATTATTATTATTATTATTTTTTTGGTACCGGGAAAAAACTCATGACCTCGCGCTTGCTGGGCAGGCGCTGTGCCGCTGAGCTACATCCCTGGCCCCAAAGCTGTCATTTTAAAAAGTATATCTTTTAAACTTTGGGGTAACTGCATTAAACATTCTATATGAAATACACCTTTATTTCATACCATATAACAAATGAAAGACTACTACTGTGAGGTAAAGTAGCCTATGTCGAAAGTTGGAATCCAAAAAGAAAGTTCTATGTTTATTATTAAAAGGATTAGCATGCTTCAGTTACTTCTTACATTATTGATGTTTAAGAGCTCAGAGTTCATAAACTCTGTAGGGAGCCTTTCGGAATCTTGATTTTTGTTTTTGTTTTCATGCTCTTGTTTTTTGATTTTTTTGTTTTTGTTTTTGTTTTTTTTTTTTTTGATAGTACGAGGGACTGAACCCGGGCTTTCACACTAACTACATCACCAGCCCTTCTTAAAAATTCTGAGACAGGGTCTTGCTAAGTTGCCAAGGTGGCCAGGCTGGGCTCAAACCTGCAATCCTCCTGCCTCAGCCTCTTAGAGTGCTGGGATTACAGGCCTGCAGCACCATGCCCAGCTAGAAATATTGAATCTGAACACCAGCACATATGGTGGGAGATACGATTACAGGGTGGTAACCACGGATGGAAAGCAGCCTTTGAAGTCCTTTCCACCGCCTCTTTCTGAAGTCACAGATCCACACTGTCAGGTCATTCTCCACTTGAAAGCTCTTTTTACCTAACCGTTCCAACCGTTCCAATCTGTAACTTTCCGGCGCTGCCCCAAGTAGCTCCTGTTCACAGACGGACGAGGAAAGGCCTAGGCACGTCTCCTGACCGCCAGTCCACAGGCCCTGCTTTCACGTTGCTCACAGAAACGAGGCAACGCTGTGACCGCTGGGCACGCTCCAGCATCAGTAAGTACGCACTCCTCTGCTGTTTCCAGCACGTGGAAGGTCGTCTCTGGCAGGGAGTTCCCGATGGTCACGGGCCGAGTCAGGGAACGGCTCAGCGCTGCGTCAAGCCTTTTTCTTTATTGTGAGCAATAAAGTCACGAAAGGCACAAAAGGATGTGCCTTTTTTTTTTGGATGATGCTGGGGATCAAACCCAGGGCCTCATGCATGCTGGGCACGCAGCCCACCGCTGAGCCATGTCCCAGCCCACTCACAGCATTTTCAAAGTGTATCTGCAGCTGGGGGTGGAGCTCAGTGGTAGTGTCCGTACTTGGCATGTGTGTGGCCCTGGGCTTAATCCTTAGCGCGCGTGCACGCGAGAGCGCACACGCGCACACACACACACTTTGGTGGCACTAGGGATTTAACCCAGGGGTGCTCTACCACTGGGCTACATCCCCAGGTCTTTGTCTTTTTTATTTAAAGACAAAGTCTCACTAAATTGCCCAGGTAGGACTTGAACTTGAGACCCCTCAGCCTCCCACTAGGCTAGGATACAGGTAAGTGCCACTGTGCCTGGCTCCCAGTCCTGTTTTTATTGTGAGACAGGGTCTAAATTGCTGAACTGTCCAACCTGGGCTTGAACTTGGGCGATCGTCCTGCCTCTGCCTCCCAGAGTGCTGGGATTCTAGCCGGGCACCACACTGCCAGGCAACATTCTCTTGACTGTGGCTTCACAGTAAGTCTTTAAATCAAGTAGTCTGTGCACTAGCACTTACCTGTTACAGTTTTTTTCATCTTCATAAAAAGCTTAGAATCAATTTATAGACTTTTACAAAGAAACCCCCTAGAGCAAAGCGTGCGCAGTAATCCCAGTACTGGGGGAATCTGAGGTAGCAGGAGCCCCTGTCCGAGCTTCCCAGCCATCTTGGTGATTTAGCAAGACCTTGTTTCAAAATACAAAATTAAAAAAAAGTTTAGGGATATAGCTCAGTGTGAAGGGATTCAAACTTCAGTACCATTAAAAAAATCCTGCTGGAATTTAAATTGAGAGTGCTTTGAATATATAAAAATTGACTGTTAAGGACTCTAAGAAATTAAGCAAAACAAAAATTTCTTTTTGGTATGGGAGGTTGAAATCAAATGAGCCGTATCGCCAGTCCTTCTTTTTTTACTTTTTAGTTTGAGACAGCATCTTACCAATTAACTAAATTATCTAGGGGCCGGGGATTTAGCTCAGTGAAATAAGCGCCTGCCTGGCAAGTGCAAGGTCCTGAGTTCAATGCCCAGTACCAAAAAAAAAAAAAGTAAATTGCCCTGGCTGGGCTTGAATTTGCAGTTTTCCTGCCTCAGCCTCCCAGTGTGTTGGGATTAAGATGTGTGCTGCTATGCTTGCCCCCAACATTTTTTAAATAAAAAATTTAAAAATATATTTGCTTATGTACTAAGAACCACAAGTACAATGCTATTTTTTTAAGCATAAAAAAGGCACAGTTTACAAAGTAATATCCCTTCTTCTACCTTCTACCTACCTCTCAAAGATATTGTTCGAGGAGTTTTTCTGTTTTTTTCTTTCTTTTGTACTGGAGATTGAACCTAGGGCCTTTCCACTGAGCTCTGTCCTCAGCCCTTTTTTACTTTGAGATAGGGTCTCCCTCGGTTGCTAAATTGTCCAGCCTGGACTCAAATCTGTGATCTCCTTGCCTCAGCCTCAGAGAGTCCTGGGATTACAGGCCTGCACCACCATGCCCAGCTCGACAGAAGAGTTTTGCATGTGTTTCTAGGAAAAGCAGGTGTGGACCAGCCTGTGCACACATGTGTTTTCTGGGCCTGGCCTTTCACACCTTATGCGAGCACTTCCCACACCGGCCTGATGGATGGAGTTACTGCAGCTGCTGTCTAGAGGATCACGATTTATTTAGCTGTTAACCTTCTGGTGGGCATTTTAGGTTTGCTATTAGAACTCTAATTCAAAACATGTCTTTTGTCAAGACCTCTGTAGGTGAATTCCTGGCATGTACTTGCTGGGTTCAAAGAGCTAAGTGCCCTTAAAATTCAAACACTCTCCAAACTGCCCTCCAAAAGCTGACCTGCCTACACACACCCCCACCAACCATACAAAAACACTTGTTTTCCCACTTTGCTTGACACAGCATACCAAGCTTTAAGTCTGTGTCAATCAGGTAATAAGGAATACTGTCCCACTTCTCTCCTGGCATTTCTTTAACCATCAATAAGCCGAACTACCTGTGGCAGGGCTCTGAGGCCAGCTGGTCTGGCATCACTCAGCCCCCGGCTAACTGCTGTTGGTAGCAGTCAGGTATTATAAAGCCAGTCACTTCACCTCATGTACTTTGCTTTCACATCTGTAAAATGGGACTATCAAAATATCTATTTCACAGGGCTGTTCTGAGATGCAAATGAGAAAATGTATGTGAAATACTTAATAAGGCCCCGGCGTATTGTGACTGCTTGGGAAGTCTCGGCTTCCACCAGTATGGGAACAGTTACAGTGGAAAAGTGGTAAGAACAGTGGCTTCTTTTCTAGCATAGATCTGTTCAGATCATTAAACCATTTTTCCGTTGGGATGTTCATCCATTTCTTACTGATTTGTGTGATGTTTTTCAAGTGAATTGGTCCTTTATCTTGTCACTAACATCTTTCCTATCTTGCTGTTTGGTTTATAGAATTTCCCTTCGTCTATAAAATATTCTTTGTTGTTGTTATTCTTTTTTTTGAGACACGGTCTCCTTATGTAGTTTTGACTAGCTCTGAGCTCACTATGTAGCCTCAAACTTGCAGCAATCGTCCTGCCTCAGCCTTCCAAGTGCTGGGATTACAGGTACATGCCACCACGCCCGGCTTCTTTGTTGTTTTTCTTTACACTAGAAATATGTATCAATTGAAGAAAAAAGTAGAAAATACAGTACAAACCAAAAAGAAAGCTACACTTCACCTGCAATTTCACATCTCAGAGTCTATTAATTTTAAAATGCCAAATCTTCACTAAAAATGAGATAACACACATCCTTTGAAACCTTGCTAGGGTCATAGTGCAGGGCAAGTATGTTTTTGCACTTCAGCTCCTTTGGACTCCAAGGTCAGTCGCTCAAAACACACCCCTTCCTCCCAGAGTCCGGCCTGTTCCAAGTTGGAGAAACTCGCTCTTTGGGAAGAGGAAGAGGAAGAGGAAGGGCGATCCAGGCAACCAAGCCAGCACGGAGGCTGCAGGCAGCACTGACCCCCAGGCAAAGATCTGAACGGGACGGAAGGCGACTTCGAGACCCGCACTGCCGGCCAGTTCCCCAGGAGCCTCTGGCATGTAGCGCCCCTGGTCTGGTGCTCTAGAGTTCCTGGGAAGTGCAGAATTATAGCCTCTCCTCTGTGCCAGGGACAGGACGGTAAAGGACGGAGGCTTTCCCAGGTGCCCGGCCTCACCAGTTCCGAACGCAGAGGTCACCAACACCCTGTCATTCTATCTTGGAAACACTGGCCTCCTGGGAGTCCCTTACATCCCTCTAGTTAGCGGTCAAGCCACAGACTGTGCAGGCTCCACAGCACGGGGAACTATTTCCTGAGTGTCTTGAGACTGAAGTGCAGTGGCCCCAGGCTGGGGGAGGAAGATGACCAACTCTGCTTACCTGAGTTTGAAGTGGCCACAATCCAATAACCCCAGTGAAATTAAGAAACTAAAGAAAGAGCCTCAGAAAGAATAAACAAGAAGGAAAGAGGGCAGCGTCAGAAGAAAAGCATCTCAGCTTTTACACTTGAGCAATTAATTACTCAGCTGAGTCGAAAGAGAAGCTTCCCTCCGGGCCAAGGGGTCTCTGCAGCAACAGATTAGCACCCAGCAAGCGCGAGGCCGCCGGAGCCAGTAGGCAGCCCCGGGTTCCCAGAGCAAAAGAGGAATGTTCTCAGACCTTCGGCTCTGTTTGGGTTTTGCATCCCCCTCTGTCACCCCACAAAAAAAGCATGTGCATTTCTCCAGCCCAGTGGTGCGAGAGGAACAAACTTGCATCGGGATGGTTCAGTGAACTTAAAACGAAACGTTTCCGACAGTGACAGCTACCAGCCGGGCCTGGGGGCCATTTCCCCCGAGAGTTCTGGTTCTGCGCCTCCTTATACAACCCACTGTGCTTCTGGTCACTGCTGTGATCACGTGCACAGTGGGGGTCTGCAGCTGCATGTGACCAAATGCGGTTGTGTCGGAAGCTTCACGCCCAGCCGAGGCGGCCGTCAGCAGGGCCCAGGACAGGACTGGCTGCTACCTCTGCATAAAAGGGAGCCTGCCCTGCCCAGCCAGTTCCAGGAAGCAACGACCGTGTGGAAGGCACCGGAACTAACCTAGTCAGCACATGCATGTCCCAAGGCAGGAGGTTCCACACCAAGCACTCAGTATCTAGGATAGACAGATGTCATTGCAACCCCTCAAACAGGCAGCCACCCCGGCTTCCCCACCCCAGCTAACGCGGCCCGGCTCACCTTGAGCGTGCAGTGCGCGGTGGAGCAGCGTCAGGAGCCCGGCCTGCCAGAAGGAGTAGCAGCCGTCCACCAGCTTGTTGCAGCGGCCCTGGAATCCACCTTCGAATCGCATCTGCCGGCTCGTTACCCAGTGCTGAGAACAGGGTGGACAGAGGGGCAGCCGTGAGGCAGACACACACACTCCGCAGGACAGGGCCCTCAGGCCAGCGGGTGGAGGAGGCTCCGGCATAGGGCTTCTTGGCCCTGGGGTTTGGGACTCTGGCTTCCTTCCTTCCTCCCCACCCGCTGTAGCTCTTTGAACTGACTCTTTTGAGACAACCAGCACCGATCTCTGCCCGGGGCCCGACGCACAACCCCTTCCTCAGTTCCCACCCGGCGCGGGGGTGGACAGCAGAGAGACCACACTGGTCTGAGAAGGCAGCTCCTAAACACGCTGACGGGGCCTCTGCGCCGGGTCTGGCCACCCTGTCTCATTACTTCTGCTCAGGGAAGTTTATTCAAAGCAGGTAAATGGAATTTTTGTGGCACATCAGATCTTACTATTTCAAACTGTTCTACTTTATATAAAGACATTCATCTCAGGTTTCTTCTTTTCAAAACTTTTTTTGGTGTGGTGGTGGTAAATGAGATCAATCCCAGGGTGTGTACTACCCCCAAGTTACCACCTCAGTCCTTTTAATTCTTTACTATTGAAACAGGTTCTCACTAAATTGCTAAGGTGGCAAGGATCGACTTGAACTTGCAACCTTCCTGCCTCAGCCTCCCTCAGCTAAGATTACAAGCGTGTGTGACCATACCCAGCTAGCCCTGGTCTCTTAGCGAGTCCCCAGCAGGACTGGAGGCAGAAGCCATCTGTCCTGATTGCCAAGCGATGACCACCCAGTCTAGCCTCACTTCTCCAGAAGAACCTGGTAGGCAGACAGAAGGAAATCTTTCACTCTGAAGCTATAAACTGATACGTGATGTCACCCAGCAGTCACACATGACACCATTCCTCACTTATCTCCAAGTTTGCTACATACTTTACCCTTAAGATCAACATAGCCATACTTTGTTTCCTAGAAATGAGCAGAACCAATCTGCTGAGTAGATATCACATCCGTTTCCCTCCCCAGTCTCCAAGGAGTCCAAGGCCCAGCCCTGGTGTGCAGAGCCACCTTACCAAACTGAGAGGAGGCGACTGGGCCTGAAGTCTTCCTAGACTGAGCTCTGAAAGCAGACCGGAGGTGCTCTGGAGAGGGGTCCAGCCCGCCCTCCACAGTATTATTTCCCTGTTCTTTGCAATAGTCACCCATAGGGAGTCACAATCCCAAAATCTTTGTTCCTTTTTTTTTTTTATTTCTGAGATAAGGTCTTGCTATATAGCCCAGGCTGGCCTCCAACTAGTGATCCTCCTGCCTCAGCCTCTCTAGTGCTGGGATTAAATGCTTGTGCCAAGATACCTGGCTCCAACAATCCCAAATTCTTAAGATTAAAAAAAAAACCAAAAATGCCGGACTGCAGGTTCAGGTAAGCAACACATTTCCAGTTGGTCAGGACGAGCTAGTGGTTTAGGAACAAAGCCAATTAAGGGGAGTAGGCTTAGCTCACTCAGGGACAGAAAGCAGGCACTACAGGGCAATTCGTTCTTCCCTGTTGTCTGTTCTCAAGCCGGACCAACTGTTTTTCAGTACCTGAGCCCATGCCTTGGTTCTGTTCCCCTAGGCTATACGAATTCATTAGATCCTTCAGATACAGGGACTGTTCTCCCAAAGCAAATGGAAGGGAGCCAGGAGTTTGGGGTGGAGGGATGTGAACACTTACAGAGTACCTACTATGTGTCAGGCTGCTTATAAATGTTCTTTCCTCTAACTTACAAAGAATATAGATTGTCATTCCTACCAGAAGGGAAAAATGCGAATCTAAATCGGCTGTCAGTTTGCTCCAAGTCACTTGGCTAAGAAGTAGCAGAGGCAGGGTTCAAACCTAGAAAACTGTGGTTATAATTTCATAAAGTGGCAAGCACAAATTGTACGCTTCTTCCTGCCTGAGACATGGGCTTTTACGCTTCACCTTTGTCTCATAAACAGTGTGCAAAGCTGCTCAGTTCAGCATCAACCGCCATGGCTTCGAGAAGCTTCCAGCGGAGTACGGTGTGGAGGCTTCCTGAGGACGGGGGCGGGATAGTGCTCGTTATACCTCACAGCGCCTCACAGAGCCCTCTGACACGCTCCTGATGGGTCCACACTGGGTGCCTGGCACCTGGACTCGGAGAGCTGCTCTACTGTGAGGTCACGGGGTACAGCTCCTGCCGCCCAGAGACAAGAGGGGAAACCTCGGCGGTGGCTGCGTTCTGCCTGTGCACCAGCCCTCCCCTGAGCACTAAGCTACGGTCGAGGGCCTCCTTGAAGCTGCTCAGCTTTGCCTACAGAACTCACTTGAGTGGAGGGACTAATTATTCACAGGAGCAACGAAAGCTTCATTTCAAAATGCTTCAGAGCTCCTCTCACAACTTCTTCTCTTAGGATATTCTTCCTGTGACACAGAGAAGCCTCAAATCCTAATAGGCCGAGCTATACTTTTCCTAGAAGCGGGAGAAAGGTATTCTGGCCCATTCCAAATGTCCACAGCACTCAAGAGGCTCTGGAGACCGCCTAGCACACTACGCAGAAAACTCGACACAGGCAGAAAGAAAAGTGGGAAGGAGAGAGCCGAGACTGAGAGCAGCTGTGCCTCATACAGAGCCCCCCGCCCCCCCTGCACAGGGTTGCAGCTCAGAACCCAGCACCCATATCTTTCGTGCATTCCAGGGGTTGAAGTGCATGAGCTCAAGCCTAGAACTCAGTGATGCCTTCCATGGCCAGAACTCCCCAGATCAGAAGCCCGCATCAGGACCCAAGCCCAAGCAGTAAATGGCTCAAGAGACACTTACCAATAAGCTCTTCAAGTTCAAGTAGTATTCCTTCTTGAGGATCACCAGTGCAGCCAGGCCGCAGAAAGTGTAGCCACCATGCGCTTCCATACCCGGGACCCCCCCAATGCCACCTTCCCAGTTCTGACACCTAAAGAGGGGTTGAGAAGCAGACTGAGTGGCCCAGGGAATGGGGCACACAAAGCGTCCCTACCCTCCACATCCAGGGAAAAGAAGGAGTCGCTGGGTGAGGCAGAACCTGTCAGCACCGTGAAGGAAGGATGCTGATACTAACTTTTGGAGATGCCTTTTCTTAAAAAGCAAAATAAATTTTAAAAACCCTAGAAATTTAGAAACAGTATACTTGAATAAGAAATATAGTATTTCAAATTATTACTCTTTGGGAAAATGTTATAAAATCCTGTATGTAGCTTAACAACCAGGTTATAGTAAAGTTCAAAAATAAATGTTGAATTGCCGGCCATGGTGGCGCAGGCTTGTAATCCCAGCACTCGGGAGGCTGGGGCAGGAGGATCGTTGCGAGTCCGAGAACAGCCTGGGCTACAAAGTGAGCTCAAGGCCAGCCTGAACTGCATGGCGAGACCCTATCTCAAAGACCAAAAATAAATAAATAAATAAGTAAATGTTGATTTTTGTTATCTTTGGGTACAAGGTCTACTGCATATACGAAACACATTTAATTCAAAAAGAAATTCATACACTGAAAGTCAGAGAATGGAAAATACCCCATGTAACAGGAATCTGGAATGAAGCAGGGGTAGCTGTTCTATTTGCAGACAAAATGGATTTCAAGCCAAGATTGACAAAGAGAGACAAAGAAGGTCACTACATCCTTGTAAAGGAAACAATGCAAGAGGAAGAGATAACAATCATAAATATAGATGCACCAAATACTAGTGTACCCAACTGTATAAAACAAATATTAACAGATATGAAAAATCAAATAAGCATATCACAATTGTAATAAGGGACCTCAATACCCCACTGTCACAAATAGACTAAAAAAATCTATGATGAAATATCAGAACTGAACCAAACTTTTGAACAAAGGAACTTAATAGATGTCTACAGTGTTTCACCCCACAACATCAGAATACATATTTTTCTCAGCTGCACATGAGGTATTCTGCAAAACAGACCACACACCAGCTCACAGAACATGCTTAAGTAAATGCAAGGGAATTAAAATTATCCCATGCATATTATCAGACCATAGTGCAATAAAGTTGGAAATCAATGGCAAAAGAAATCACAAGAACTTCATAAACACATGGAAATTAAATAGCACCTCCTGAACAACCAATGGGTCACAGATGAAATTAAAGAAGAAATTAGAGTTTTTACAATTAAACAATAATGCCAGAACTTATAGAGTACAGTGAAAGCAGTCCTACATACCAGGACTTATGGAACATAGGGAAAGCCGTCCTACAAGGACAATTTAAAGTGATAAAGTCTCATATCAGAAAAACAGAGCAAGCTCAAATGAACAATCTCAAGCTTCTAAAGAAGAAAGAGCAAGTGAAGCCCAAACCTCGTAAGAGGGAAGAAATTATAAAGAGCAGAACAGAAATTAACTCAGTGGAGACTAAGAAACAATGCAAAGGATCAATGATTCGAAGAGTTGGTTCTTTGAAAGATTAGATAAAATGGACAAACCCTTATCCAACCTTATCAAAAAAGGAAAAAAGAAGACTCAAATCCATGCAGTTGGGAATGAAAAGGGTAAGATCACAACAGATCCTGCAGAAATCTAGAAGATCATCAAAACCTACTTCGAGAACCTGTATTCTAATAAGATGAAAAACAGAAGAAATGGACAGATTCCTAGATACATATGAATTACCAAAGCTGAATCCAAAAGACACAAAAATTCTAAATAAACCAATATTAGTCAATGAAATTGTTTTTGTTTTTTTGTCTTTTTTTGAGACAGGGTCTCACTGTGCAGTTCAGGCTGGCCTTGAGCTCACTTTGTAGCCCAGTCTCAAACTCACAACGATCCTCCTGCCTCAGCCTCCCGAATGCAAGGATTACAGGCGTGTGCCACCACGCCTGGCTAGTCAATGAAATTGAAGATGTAATTAGAAACCTACCAACAAAGAGAAGCTCAGGCCCTAATGGATTCAGTGCTGACTAAATTGTACAAGAAATTTAGAGAAGACCTAATGCCACTACTCCTCCAGCTCATTAATAAAAGGGAAGCAATACTAAAAGTCAATCCTGGAAGCAAGCATTATCTGACACAAAACCAGAGAAGTGATCTACAGGCCAATCTCCTTAAAGAACATTGATGAAAAAGTCCTCAATAAGATACCGGCAAATGGAATGTAGCAAATCATCAAAAAGATTATACATCATGGCCAAGTAGGGACGCAAATATGGTTCTATATATGCAAATTAATAAATATAATACACCATATTAACAGAGCCAAGGACAAAAAACATATGATCATCTCAATCAATGCAGAAAATGTGTTTAGAAAATCCCATACCCATTCATGATAAAAACACTACATATAATTGGAATAAATGGTTTTTATCTCCATCTGATAAAAGCTATCTATGACAAACCAATAGCCAGCATCATACTAAATCAGTACAAGGTCTATTACTAAAAATCCTTTTCATTTTCTTGTTTTCATCTAACACTTCCCTGGTCCTGGGGAGATCTAACCAGGGCCTATATGGGAGCCAAGTGCTCTCCCACTGGGCCACACCTCCAGCTCTCTGTTTTCACAGTTTCTATAATGAACATATATGTTTTTATAACTATTCAGAAATACGTGTATCTTTTATATGAGGTCTTGCTACATTGCCCAGGGTGATGTCAAACTTGAAGGCTCAAGTCATCTTCCTATTTCAGCCTCCCAAGTAGCTAGGAGCACAGGCATGTGCCACTGTACCCAGCTTATAACTGTTCAAAACTAAACGTTATCTTTTAAAGTGGGAATATCTTATATGTTCAAACTATTTATGATTAGTATAATTACTATTGGAGGTTAGACTATCTATTAAGAGTATATTTTCGCCAGGGATATAGCTCAGTGGCATAAGCACTTGCCTGGCAAGTGCAAGGTCCTGAGTCCAATTCCCTGTACCAAAAAAAGAAAGAAAAAAAGTATATTTTCTAGGCATAAAAACGTGCATAAAAAAATACTGGGCTGGTGCTGTAGCTCAGTGGTAAAGCCCTTGTTCAGCACATGAAAGGCCCTGGGTTCCATCCCTAGCATGGCAAAAAACAAAAACAAAATAACAGGCACAATCTCTGGCCCAGCAAGAAAGGGCCATTTCTACAAATTAATCTTAAAAAATAACTACGAATATGTCAAAAAATCAGACTCTAAGCATGTTTGGTATCTTCCCATTTACAGCAGCAAAATGTTAGACCAACTTAAACACTTAAAAGTAGGGGTCTAGCTGTATAACTTATAAGACACCTATGCAACAGCTTACTACCCAGTTATTTAAAATGATGCTACAAAAGTATATTTAAAGATGTTCCATTTATTACATGAGTGATGGTATAAAATGACTATACATGGTGCGATTTCATCCTCAGAATTCTGGAGGAATATACATCAAAAGAGCGTATCTCCTGGTACTACAAGTTATTTAGATTTTTTTTTTTCAATGCTTTTAACAGACAAGTTATTTGTGAAATAAATTTGCTTTTTGGGGGCAGTGCTGGGGATTAAACCCAGGGCCTTGCACATGCTAGGCAAGAGCTCTACTAACGCACATCTCCAGCCCTAAATTGTCTAAGGAGACTTTCATGTGACACCGCAGAACTTTACTTCCAGCAGCTCTAAGTGTTTGCCTCAGTCTCCCGCCCTACGGCGTGTCAGTCTCACACTGCTGCGTGGTCCAGCTGAGTAAGTGAGCAGCCCCCACCCAGAAGCTGGCAGGACCTCCAGGAAGGACAGAAAGGAAGCGGAAACACTGCTCTGCCTTCCAGTCTCCTCTCATGCATGCACGCACGCACGCACGCGCACACACACACAATACACATATACACGTCCCGCTCTCCCTTTGTTTCTACACACATAGGAGCATATAATACACATGCTTCTGCACACTGCTTCTTTCATTTAGTAAAATTCTTTGGGAGCCTCTTCTAGCTACACAGAATTGGACTGAATGTAAGAGCCCCGTAAAATGAAAGTAAAGAATCTAAAAAGTGAGACAGGCAGAGAGTAAAAGGAGTAGAGAGGATGTGAAAGCAGACAGGAACTAACAAAATCATGAGAGCTGGAACAGGGGCGGGTTAAGAGAAAATCACTTAATAGAGAAACCCTCCCCAGCCCAGGTGGGCAGCATAGCACAGCGGTTATGATCATAGGTAAATCTACCGGCAACACCTCCATGTACATGCCTCCCCGACTCCATTTCCCTTCCCTTCCTCTCTCCTCTCTTCCCCCTCTCTCAAACCCAGGGTCTTGCTATATAGCTCAGGCTGGCCTCAAACTCAACTCTGCATCCTCCTGCCTCAGCCTCCCCAGTGCTAGCATTATAGGAGTGTGCCATCGTCCCAGCTCCACTTGATTTCTTTATATTTCAGCTTTATATAAAATTCAATATTCAACCACCTGACATACAAGGAAACTACAACATGACAAAGTTCGGTAGCCTCCAAGGCACAAAACTAGTAACTAATGGCAAAACTGGGATTCAGCCTGGCGGCCAGGCTTCCACGCCACAGGGTGCCGGCAAGTCAGTCCTGCCGCAGACTGGGGCTGCACACTCTGGACGTAACAGGAAGCAGCTTCCAGAGGGCCGCTTGTAGCTACACAGAGCTGTACGCTGAGTCCAGTGGAGATTTGAACGCAGAGCGGACAACAGCAGGGAGCCAGTTCCTCTCTCCTGACTCCATTTTCCCATGCTCTGCTCGCCCTGAGGATGGTTACAGTAGCCCGGGCAGTGGCAACTGCAGGCTGGGTCACCGGTCAGGGGCGGGCAGCTAGAACTCTAATAGAGAGCCAACTGTCCATAAGAAAGAGGCTGCCAGAAAGTGAGGAAGATTCCAGAAAGGGAAGGAAAAGCCCAAATGCTGCCTTTAAACTCAGTCTGAGTTTCGACCTGACTCCTGAAATCTGCGTACGAGGAGCAGCTTCGACCCAAACTGATCTGTGGTCAGAGGCGCTGGCCGCCACCGGCAGCGAGGCGCGCAGCCTGTCGTCAGCACGTTCGCACACAGGCGTCCCCCTCTTCCGGCAACCTGCGTTCTAGTGGGACGGAGTCTCCATGATACACCAGCCCGTGCCCGGGTGCAACCCCAACTACTCACAGACACACAGCAGGGAAGTGTGAGCAGCCACTCGAAGGGACCTGGACAAGGGTTTGAAAGCACATGTGATTAAATGTTTGCCACAGTTAGGAGCATTACACTTGTAATGAAGGAAGAGATGGGAAATCCCAGCTGAGAAATGGAAAGTATACTGAAAAACAAAATCCAAGGAGTGCCTAACTCGGTCTCCACACTACAGCCACATGACTGCCGAGCCCTCGGGAAGCACTGGTTATCATGTTCATCCGCCTTAGTAGTGACCACACCGGAAGCCAGAGGTAACAGAACAACACTTACACGATGCAGAAGGAATCGTTTATACCATTTCCAACTTGGAAATCTCTAAATAAATTATCTTGCAGGTTCTATGAGCAGAATCAAGACATAGACAAGATCTTAAAAATCTCTCTTCCAGGTGCCCTTGGTTAGGACCCATAAGAGTTCAGCACACGCCTCATTAAAATGAGCAAGTAAACCCAACCAAACCAACCAAGCATACCCAAGCCAAAGGACAGGGCTTCAACCAAGCGGGCAAAGGAAGTGAATTTCGGGATGAACAGAAGCTTCGGGATGCCCACTGAGCAGCAAGCTGAGAACAATCTGTCCAGGCTAAAGTGGGGCAGAGGGCTGCAAGAGGGATGACCCAGAAGGCACACACACAAATACACACACAGAAGAAGCAAGATCACAGAGGGGCTTGTGTGGAGAATAACTTTCCCGTGCTGGCAGGCACAGAACTGGGAGTGAATTCATGATGTATATGTTCATGGCATGGATATTAAGTCAAGGAAAACGAAGGTTATAAAAAAATAAATATCATCATAGTAGATCATGTGGTTTCCGTGTAAGTTATATAAGTTGTAGTTACATAGTGATAACTATTTTGGTAAAATAAAAATTTAAGAAACAGTACATATGTACCTACCATGCCTCTTGTTTTCTCCCTTTCTCCCTCCCTCCTTCCCTCTCTACCTCTCCCCTTCTTTCTCTTTCTCTCT